CTTCACCTCTTTAAAAGTTCAAAGAAAACCATTTAGAGGCTTTGCCAGTACTGTGGCAGTTATGGCAATATGTTGTTTTCCATTTTGTGGCTTAGGAGTCCCTAATTCCAAACTCTTTTTGTTTTTTCCTTGACAGCTTTTGCCAACTATGAAAGAGGAGAATGATTTCCCTAAGCCTTTTCTGCTTGATGAAGAAGCTAATGAGTTCAAACTGGTTAGTATATCTTCCTACCTGAAGAAAATCTGGGGGTTCCTCTTACAACAATCCACAATGTTGTGGCACAACATAAAGAGTGGCATCAAAAATACTGTGTCCTGCATCTTCCGCAAGTACCCAGTGAATCTGCCTTTCATCAAAATTCTCAAAATTTTCATCCTGGTTTTTTTGTTATTTTCATTAGTTTCAATTTTATTATTATTGAAGGAAAAAGGAATAGGTAAAATATATCCATTTGGGAACAATGTGGCCACCAGTGTTGTCCTTGTTAAAGGAGATAACACAGAAACCATCCCTAAAGATCTCACTGCGACAGTCCTGCTGGAAGCCAAGGAATCCGAACCATTTTGTGAGGCCATGAAAAATTGCTTCGACACTGCTGTCAATAAATTTGAATCAGAGCCACGGATTGTAAAGGAGAATGCCAAGATGATCCTCAAGTGTAACGGAACGAGGAAGGAGTTTGTGTCAGGAAAAGGAGAAAACTATATTGAGGTGTTCTGGGTGGATGGCCAAACATATTACACGGTCAAAGAAGCCAACTCACAAGTCTATGCGGCAAGGCTGGGGCGCCAACCCCTCAACCTTGGCAGCCTCTTGAAAGTCTACCAACAACTGGTCTCCCTTGAAGGGTCAGAGGAGCTACAGCAGTGCCTAAATAAGACGATAGAGAAATTTCCCAAGGAACCACATGCTGTGCAGGACAATGCCGTGTTGCAGGTCTCATGCGGAGAAAGTAATGTGACCTTCCATTCGGGAGCTGGGGAGAATGAAATCAACGTATACAAAGTTATGCAGGGGGAGATTGTGTTTAATGTAAAAGCAAAAGGATGGGCTTGGTGGGCCAGATTATTCAGAAGGAACTAAGGTAAGGAATGATATCAAAGAAGATGGTGTGGGTGGAAGCTTTGCGGTTCTGCTGTAGAGGCAAATGATTTAAAAGTAGTTCTTGACTTATGACCACAATTGAGCCCCAAATTGCTGTCACTAAGCAAGACAGTTGTAAAATGACTTTTGCCCCATTTTACAATCTTTCTTGACACAGTTAAGTGAATCACTGCAGTTGTTACCAGTGTTTCCCCAAAAATAAGACCTTGTTTTATTTTCTTTCGACCTCTGAAATAAGCGCTAGGCCTTATTTTCGGGGATGTCTTAATTTCCCTCTACACTTTGTTGTGCTGTTGAGTGTGTGAGCGGCGGTACCGGTGCTGATGAGCCTCATGGCATCCTGCCGCGAGCAGCTGCAACTGCGCAATGAACCTCACAGGACGCCGTGAAGCTCGTCACACTGGTGCCACCACTCAGGGCAGGACGCTGCAAGATTTGTTGTGCCATTGCGCACACAAGCAGCACAACAAACCTTGCAGCATCTGAGCAGCAGGAGACATGACAAGCCTCACGACAGTTCCACCACTCGTGCAACAACACAACAAGCCTTGCGGTGTCCTGCCGCAAGTGGCATGACAAGCCTTCCAAAATTTGGTGGAGTGAAACAAACCAGGGTTTCTACTGCAACTGGGGCGAGGCTTAACTAGGCCTTGTTTTTGGGCTGGGGCTTATTTTAGGTGCAGGTCGTATTTGGGGGGAAACGTAGTAATACAGTTGTTAACTAAATCTGGCTTCCTCATTGACTTTGCTTCTCAAAAGGTCACAAAGGGTGACCTTTGGGACATTGCAACCAACATAAATGCCCGTCAGTTTCCAAGCACCCAAATTGTGATCACATGACCACGGGGATACTACAAATCGTCATGTGGAAAACAGTCACAAGTCACTTTTTTCACCGCCATTGTAACTTTGAACGGTCACTAAATGAGTGTAAGTCGAGGCCTACCTATATTATAAACAGAAGCATCTCATTATACTTTCCCACATGCAGAGTTACTGAGATCCTACCAGTGCACTGGGCCTATCAATCATTTGGCTGCTGATGGATTATTCCTTGTTTTACATAATCGGATTGTTTGATCAGCTCACAATTCCAGAATTGCTTCACTCAGTAAACAGCTGTAGATAAATATATATATATAAAATAATGGTCAGAATCTTGTAAGGCAATCACTTTTATCTCCAATCCAGGAATCCACCAATGCTGTATTTTCCATATTGTATCTTCTGATCTCTTTTTAATGATTGCTTAAATAAAGTTTTCAATTGTTACCGGGTGTCATGTTCCTTCTATGATATCCTTGGCTTCTAATTCACCCTCTTTCTAATTCAACTGTTAGGACATACAGATCCCACAATATTTGTATTACAATGAAGATAAAAGGGAAACAAAATGCTTTTTCCTGTCTCAGCACTTGCTTTCTCACAGAGAAGGGTTTGGCAGTGACATTTGGTGGTCAGATGTGGGAGAAAAGTCTTATCCAAAGAGATGTTTTGTCTTGGCCACCCGGAAGTTGTTAATGATGTGAGCCTATGAAGACTTCATACAGTATTTTAGGCAAAAATCTGATAGAAACAGGTCCAGAAGATTATCAATAGAAAGGTTAAGTGGAAACACGATATAGGTAGCCCTCAAATTACGAACATAATTGAACTCAAAATTTCTGTTGCTAAGTGAGGCAGTTAAGTGAGTTTTACCCCATTTTACAATCTTTCTTGCCACAGTTAAGCAAATCACTGAAGTTGTTGACTTAGTAACATGGTTGTTAAATAAATCTGGCTTCCCCATTGATTTTGCTTATCAGGTCACGAAAGCTGGTCATGTGACCTTGAGACACTGCATCTGTCATACATGAGTTGCCAAGTATATGAAGTTTGATCACATGACCATGGGGATGCTGCAAAGGTCATGCGAAAAACATGTTACTTTTCTCGGAGCAATTTGTAACTTGGAACAGTCACTAAAGGAACTGTTGTTAGTCGAGGACTACCTGTACTGTAGATGAAAACAGAAGAGGCACTGGATAGAAAGCTGGAGCAAGCAAAAGGAACAAAGGCTTTCTCAACAGCATCTACCATTTCTGCTAAAGTGGGAGGGGAGAATAGAATTAGATTAGAATAGGAATAGGAATAGAATAGAATAGAATAGAATAGAATAGAACATAATAGAACAGAACAGAACAGAATAGAATAGAATAGAATAGAATAGAATAGAATAGAATAGAATAGAATAGAATAGAATAGAATAGAATAGAATAGAATAACAGAGTTGGAAGGGACCTTGGAGGTCTTCTAGTCCAACCCCCTGCTTAGGCAGGAAACCCTATAGCATTTCAGACAACTAGTTGTCCAAACAAAATTTACATTTTCATGCACTATAGCTTGAACTACTTAATTCAAAAACACCAAGAAGCTAACATTGGAGCTTGAATCAACTAAATACTCGATACAGAATAATTATCTGAATCATTAGAAGAGTGTAAAAAATGACACTCCTGAGTCATTGTCTGCAAAAGTGAATCTAAAGTGATTGTAAAGTAGCAAAGAGTTCAGGGGATCTTCCATTGAATAGATTTTATATTTTGAAAGTAGCATTCTTTCAATCGTGGTAGCATTCCCACTTAACATTCAAAGAGTGTTTCCTGTAAACTCTCCATTTTCCAAACTTGAATATAACTCTGTGCAATTCCAGATTTAACCAGTGAGAGAAATTTCTACTCAAGAGATTACTCTTTCTTCTGCTGGAATAAGCAGAACTAATGCTGTTTGAATAACTGAATTATAAATAATGCTTCTGGCCAGTTTGATATATAGCTAAATTTCAACTATATAGTGCCATAGAGATTACTACAAATAATGGCATAGACTGCTTTGAAATAGGCCTGGTTTAACGCTTTTGAAAAATCACAGGGGTTAGACTAATGAGAAAAAATAATAACACAGCAGTCTGATTGCTTGTGAAATTTGTGAACCCAGATCACACCCAAGGCGTTTAGCTTTCACAGTAAGACGGAGTCTCCATGAGAACAAAGCTTTTTAGCATAACATGATGATTTAACTGGGGTATTAAAATCACCCGGTTGCAAATCTGGGTTGTTTTTTTTCAGATTGATAACCAAGAGATAAATTCTTCAACAAATTGGCTTATAATCAGGATTAAACCACCAATTGGAAATTTCAGTTTTGTGAACAGGGAACTCCAAATGAATCTAAGACCATTGTTAAAAGGACAGACATTTGCTGATGTTATTTTAAACGAAGACAAAATGTCTACCCTGAAATTTTGGTGCAGGATTTGTAATAATTCGTAATTCCCATTAGCAAAGAATCACTTATGTTAAACCTACCATCCAGATTTAGCCACAAGTAAAACAGATTGCTAAGAACTTGGATTGAAACTGCTCTTCTGAAAAAAAAGGGGGGATATGGGACTGATCCTGGCACTTAGGACTGTCACAGCATCCCCACGGTCACATGATCAAAATTTAGGCACTTGGCAACCAGCATGTACTTACAATGGTTGCAGCATCCCAGCGTCCTGTGATTCCCATAGGTGACCTTCTAAGATGGCTTCTGACAAGCCACATCAATGGGGAAAGCCAGATTTGCTTAAGAACCAGTGCAATTAACTTAACTGCAGTGATGCCCTTGACAATTGTGGCAAAAAAGGTCATCAAATAAGGGGCGACTCACTTAACACTTGACCATTGCTTACCGATGGTTCCAACTGTGATGGTAAGTCAAGGACTACCCTCACGCTGTGCTTGCCTAATTCTAGAATTTTCAAATGTAACTTTCCCCCATAAACCTTGCTTTCTCCCTATCTATCCCAATGGGCACAGCTTATCTCTGTGGCTAAGCTTAATGTCTGTCCTTGCATTCCTTTCTTATCTGTTACGTGACCCTTTGCTTCTCTGCAATAATAAAGCTCTATCTTTTCCCTTCTAAAATGGCATTGGCTTTTTTTCTCCCCTAAATAGGAGCATTTAACTCCAATAGACAATACATTCCAAGCTTTGTGAAAATAGCCAATATTTTATAAACATTATTAAAATTCGTACTGCCTTGACACAGGGATGAGGAACAAGAATCTGGTTTCTGATAGTGAAAAGACAGGGCTATTTAGCATGTTAAGATTTCCAGAAAATGATTTTTTTAAATATGTACCAAATGATCAGAAGAAGAAACAGGGCAGTATTGCTGCAGAATTACTTCTAAATAGAGAGGGGTAAATAGAGAGGGGTAAATAGAGAGTCCTCAACTTATGGCTACAACTGAGCCTCAGATTTCCGTTGCTAAGCAAGACAGCTGTTGAGTTTTCCCCCATTTTATCACCTTTCTTGCACAGATGTTGTGAATTACCAGAGTTTAGTAACATGGTTGTTAAGTGAATCTGGCTTCCCCATTGCTTATTAGAAGGTCGCAAAAGGTAATCACAGAACCCCAGACCACTATCATAAGTACATGCCAGTTGCCAAGCGTCTGAATTTTGATCATGTGACCATGAGGATGCTGTAACAGTCGTGTGAAAAACGGTCATAATTTTTTTCAGTGCCATTTTTAACTTCGAAGAGTCAGTAAATGAATGGTTGTAAGTTGAGGACTTCCTGGAAGGAGGTGTAAATAACATTTATTACTGCAAAAACCTGGATGTCTGAGCATGAAAATACTTGAAAAGCGCTACTTGCCTAGCGAACGTTAATTTTTACAATACATTAGCTGTAATTTTTCTTTCCTTGTGTGTTTGGGAATTTATTCCCTCCTCTGAACTCCATCAAATGTTGTTCATCCCTCTGCTTTCCTTCCTTTCATTTCCCAACTAATCATTCCCTTCATCTCATTCCGGATCAGAGCATGTATTTTTGTGTCTCTGCATAACAGCTGTTTGTGTGTGAGAGAATAGACGATATAAGTGAATGGGACCAATTAATTTTCTGATGATGATGTTATGCATTGAGTCCGATTTGTCAGTTCTATGGACCAAACCGCTCCACATCTCCTGAACTTGCACTTCTTCGAGTTGTTTTATGCTCTGGCTGGTGTCAGCTTTGAAGGGGGTCCAGCCATTGTGTTCTCTGGCAGCCTGGTTTCCTTTTACCACTAACTTCTAACACAATTGTTTTCTCCAGTGAATTCCTATGCATGACATGGCCAAAGAGAGAGAGAGTTTTCTGACTTTGCCTTCTAGGAACATGTCTGGTCTTATGCACTGCAGTACTTGCTTCTTAGTCACCTTTACTGCCCAAGGAAGTTACTTTTCTAAAATGAGTATTTTATAACACAATTTTATGTAATTATTAATTCAATTGATATTTGTATTTTCTAGTACTGAGATCTTTTTTAAGGAATACAATTATAAGGAAAAATCCTAAGGTGCATATCTCAGCTCATGGCCAGAATATTTTTCAGGCTGAACTTTCCATATCATTTCTATAGCAATCCTTTTGTTGTTGTTTTTGTTTGTTTGTTTCAAGCATTAGTCTGAAATGGTCTGGATTGAACTTTGATACTTTTGGCTCATCTCAAATCTTAAGTTACACCCTGATACTTTCTAGGATGAGAAATCATGGATAGCCCACTGTCAATTAAAACAATTATTTTATTATTAATAATGTTGAAGGTACAACGCTGATATCTTGCATTAAGCTGTGGGTTAACTGTCAATACAGTCATATTCAAAGCTCCACCTTTTAGACTTTTGCATTCATGCACGTGCATACGTACATACGACACCTTCAGAAGGCAAAGCAAATTAAATTCAACAGGTCTGTCTAATTCTCAATTCCCAGATGGCCAACAACATTTATATGAGAGCCATCAAAACATCGCTTTGTTTGTTTTG